GCATCGTTGGTATCCAAAATTTCCAGGTGTGATGGCTCTCTGAGCACAGCTAGAATCTACAGTGGTTCCTTCCACTGTCAAGTGTCACACAAAAGTGTTAGATATCATTGGAGTTAGTTTGCATGTTCTCTCTGTGCTTGGGAGGGTTTCCCATGGGTACCCACACTCCAAAGACATGCGGGAAGTTTAATTGGCTCCTGTCTAGATCGGCCCTATATGCATGTATGTGAGATAGGGGCCTTTGATTGTAAGCTCCTTGAGGGCAGGGACTGATGTGAATGTGCAGTAGGTAATGCGTAAATTGACGGCGCTATATAAATACCTGTAATAAATAATAATAATGAATTGGCATTCATAAGACTCCAGGAGAGCATAGAATTTGATGCTGCTAACAGGAAAGGTAAGTATTCAATATGTTTTGCAATATTTTTTTCCGCAAAGGCACCAGGGCCACTTTAAGGGAATGTGAAAGCCCCTTGTCTCTGGAAGGTGCAGGCCTGCAAACCTGGACCACCAATGTCATTTTTATTATTACAGGTATTTATATAGCGCTGACAATTTACGCAGCATTTTACATAGTTGCACATTCACATCAGTCCATACCCTCAAGGAGCTTACAATCTGAGGTCCCTATCTCACATACATACATAGAGGGCCAACTTAGACAGGAGCCAATTAACCTACTAGCATGTCTTTGGAGCATGGGAAGAAACTGGAGTACCTGGAGGAAACTCACGCAAGCACAGGGAGAACATGCAAACTCCTTGCAGATAGTGAACCTGGCTGGGATTCTAATCGGGGACCCCCAGTGCTGCAAGGCAGAAGCGCTAACCACTACGCCACTGTGCTGCCCAGCTTCACGTATATGGCTGTCATTGAGCCATATATGAAATCCTAGAGACTTCCCACTCACCTGCATGCACTATAACCTGGAATATCAGTATTGGTTGACTTGAACTCCCCATTTCCCATTATTTCTGCGCACCGTTGGAAAAATACAGATCTGCATCCTGCATACGGTCTTAGACAAATATTTAGTTTGTGCTATGTACGAGTACAGCAGGAAACCCCATTAAGAAGCTTAAATATTTGCAAGCTATTGGTATAGCACCTTTTTTTTTTATTTCCATAGAAAATGCATTGGCATCGACCTCCATCCTCCATTAATTAAACAGCATTGAGCATAGCACTTTTGCTAGAGCTTTAGAATGTGCAAGCTTTTTTTCGTAATAATGAGAACTTACACCTCTGGCGCACTAATGGCACAATCTGTCATCATTACGACCTCCTGCCGAAGCATCGTCTATCTCAAAGAGACCAAAGAGAATTGTATGACCTGCATTGAGTTTTTCGGCTCAGCGTGGGGCGCAGAGCCAAGTGACCTGCGGGGTCTCTCATTATTGCTATAGAAGCTCAATATACTGTCTATATTTACCCCTTCACTTCACTTTGCTATGCTATTTATTTTGCAAAAGGAAAAGCATCTACTTCCTGGACTGAGATGCCAGCTCGGAGATGGCACAGTCATGTAAATCCTGGGGTCGGGGCAGTTGACTTTGTTCATGAGGCCAGGTTCACACCTGCGCAATCGTGCACAATACCACCCAGATTGCCATGCGGTCACGGAGTCGCCCACCACCGCTGATCGCGCTGGTGGTGCCATTATTTTCTAATGGCACCCCAGTCGTACCGGGCGGATCGCGCGGTTTCCCTCCGCGATTCGGCCTGTGTAATCGAATCTAAAACAGCCGCGCGTCGTGTGGTGCAAAAAAAGGTACCTTTTTTTTCTGCGATTGCTGCATGGATGTAACCCCATTGAAATCAATTGGGCCGAGGGGGCAATCGCTGTGTGTGCTTGTTTGCGCAATCGCCAGGTCCTGGGACGCACGTCCCGGATTGCCTAGGTCTGCACTAGCCTTTTATGTCCGACACAAATCAGCCCTCATTGTAGCCTCTCATTTTGTGACTTGCTACAAAGTTACAGTATACAGTTTGGTCACTGGGGGAGAGGAGACTGAGGAAATGCTTCCTCCTGCCTGCAGTAGACTTATGACATCATCCCAGCATAGGCAAATTGACCAGACTAAAGCTTAAGAGGGACTTTTTAATTTGTTTAATGTATAATGTTGTCTATATTGTGACATGTCAGATGTATTGATACAGACTTTTAAAGTTACTAGAAGTTCCACTTTTGAAACATCTTCTAGTTCACTTATGTGATTTTGTTTTCCAAAAAATAACATATTAATCTAGATCAGGCAACTAGATAAAATCCTTATGTCTGCTGAGTTGCCATATGCCTTGTGAAAGCCTTGTAGAGGCAGTGCCTCATCCGAAAGTTCATGAGCTTCTTTATTTTAAATGTGTAAAAGTCCTATGAGCATTCACCATAAGTTACCTTCTGTATCAGCAAGAGCAGACACACTTTTGATAGTATATACCGAGCAGTAAAAGTTTAAGCTTTATGTAAAGTGTCCACTTTTATCTTTATCTGTGTGCCCCTCTGAAAAAGGTTTACATTTTTTGCTAAGGGCCAATCTGTTCATCTGCGTTGGAACTGCGATGGCCATTGTTTCCAGCGCACCCCCAATGCAAGACAAGGCAATTTGCCTTGTCAAGAACGGGCTCTGGGCACTGCGTTGTGATGGCATGCTGTACTTTTTTCAGTGCAGCGGGACGCAACATGGTACAACCGCCTCACACCCCTCTGTGCCCGTAGAACTGAATTAAATGTCACCTGTGACATTTAAATCAAGTACTGACAAAAAAAAATACGCAGTGCGATGCAGAGGGATCAGCTCTTCGGCACTGTGCCAAACACACCAGACGCCGTGTGATTAGCGCAGCGTCTGGTGTTAATGGGCCCTTAGGATTTGATTTAACTAACGTCAGGGCCTAGAAAACCCTCTGAGTAATGACATTGTCCATATTTGTTAATGATACCCTCTAATTACATGGAGGGTGCCAGGTAGACAAGTCCTAAAGTCAGGGAAGTGAGGCCCTTAGTAACAAAATAAAACCTGGATCAGAGGGGCAGACAAAGGTAATAATATGGTGCTAGCACTTAAGCAGGTTATCACTTTTTAAAGTGTAGAATTGCTGCCAGGTTTGTTTTAAGTGGTTCTACAGAAGGAACAGAGCCCAGGTTGGTTGTTGCCATCTGAAGATGTTCACTAGTAGTCCTAAAAAAAGCCAGGAAGTTGAGCAACATCAAGATTTTCAGTGAAGCAACTTCTGTGAATTTGCTGTAAATAGCTAGTGGTTCATCTAATCTAACAATATGGCTAATTGTGGACACCTGACCACCACACCTGTATGAGCTTGTTGGACAACCTATTCCAAAACCATATATAATATAGTTGCCCCACCACCATCACCAGTTTGCTGCTATAACAGTCTTCCACTAGATTTTTGAGCATGCCTTTGGGAATTTGTGCTCATTCGGCTACAAGAGCTTTCGTAAGGTCAGGTATTGATGTTGGTCAAGAAGAATTGGCTCACAATATGCATTCTAGTTCATCCAAAAGGTGTTCAGTAGGGTTGAGGTCAGGGCTCTATGCAGGCCACGTGAGTTCCTCCAAAACAAGCTTGTCAAGTGATGTCTTTAGGGAGCTGGCTTTGTGCATAGGGGCACTGTCATACCAGAACTGAAAAGGACCTTTTCCAAAGGTTGGAAGCTCACAATTGTCTACAATATCTTAGTATGCTGTAACACTAAGAGCACCCTTCACTGGAAACACCTGAACGCAATACTCTGGAGGTAAGTCTACATACTTTTGGCCATTTAGTATATGGGGTACCTTTTTAGGGTTGTAACTAATAATTATTTTCATAATCGATTAGTTGGCCGATTATTTTTTCGATTAATCGGATGAAAAAATGACATAAATACCATCCTTAGTTTAAAAAAAAAATACACAAATGCTGTGTTACAAAAATGAAGTTTACTTCAGAATAAAATTGCTTGCACAATTTTTTGCAATCGCACTGGAACGCTCAGCATTGGGGTACCGTGCTTTCCAGTGCGGGCGATCACACTGTGGGTGGGAGGCGCGTTTGGGGTGCCTATGAAATGAATGGCACTGCAACGCCCCTCCCGCAGAAGAGTTTGTCAGACTGAAACCGAAAATGACTTTTTCTCACCCTTTATAATTGTATTGTAAGCACAGGGCGCTTGAATAGCTTCAGCCCGGAAATGACAGCTGCCAGTGGCAAGATTCCGCAGACGGCAGCTGAATGTAAATACAGCAGGTGGTGGGCTGGTGCAATAGCAAGCCTGCTATTGGCCATTTCAAATTGCAATAGCAGGCTGGCTATTGCACCCGCCCATTGCTTGCTCTGCCCTCCTCCAAGTGTGGAGGAGAGAGCTAGGGGATCCAACCAACTAATCGATAATGAGAATAGTTGACAACTATTCTCATAATTGATTATTATCGATTATTGGATTAGTTGGTTGCAGCCCTAGGTACCTTATTGCATTTTGTGGGCACATATCAATTGCAATGAAAAGCAATAGATCCGAATGGTAATAGTAAATTGGCAATTCCCATCAATGAATAAGTCCCATGGTATTTAGATCTGTATATTCCATTTTAAGAATTCAGTCAATGCAAGTATACAAGGTGCACAACGGCTTATCCATTAATCTATATACAGGGGACAGTTACTTCCTGTACATTAGGAGGAACTATTTTTAGCATCAAAGAAAATTAATGTCTTGTGAACTTCGCTCAAAATGTAATTACTTCTGCATACATTAAGCTTGCTGATAAAAACAATATTACCCTCTCACCTTGCCAAATCTTTGTGGTGGGTGTATACAGCGAACTAATGACATTGCTATGATGAATGCTTTGAAGGTAATAATATTAAAACCATTATCCTGTAGAGATAATATATGGTTAGGCCAGTTTCCATTTTAATGTGGTAACCTGAACGGCACCTTCCCTGCGATGCAAAGATTATATATAATATACTTACCTGTGGTTTTTTTTTTGCAGGACAATCCAACTAAACATACATTTTCAAAACACGACAACCGTAATAGTTTCCCCAACTGTGTTTTTACTTTTGACAATGTAAGTATTACAACAACATCACTTCTACAAACTAAGGTTATACTGTATACGTTACACTTAACGCCCAACTCTATTAAAAAGTTATATCTGTGCATTGCTGTGTGTTTTGCTGTGCTGTCTCGGTGCTTTGGGGTGCCATATTTGGTCCTGAGAGTACAGCTGGCCATAGCACTCACAAGGCGGCCGAACAAGAGAAAAATGCTCGATACCCCCATCCACGCTAAACAAAAGGAATCTTCCACTGCTGGCTATTGTACTCAAGCAGCTTGAGTACCCGAATGGTGGCTGCAGCGAATTGGTTGTAGGTAACAATTTTCCACCCAGGTCCTTTGATTTTTCAGTCGAGCTGGGTGGGGACGACAGGACCACCGCACCTCAAATTTCAGCTGATTCACAGGAATCGGATGAGGTTCTTTACACTGAAAGCTGCTGCCATGATAGAATATTAGAGGCTGCCATTGATGATCTCCTTTTAAAAATTGACTGGCTGTTTTACTGATCCACTGGTTTAAAGGCAAAGTTTACCTTTTGGACCATGTAAAGCTGGCCATACGCCTATAGATTGTCTTCAGATTTTCTATGGTCAGATGGAAAAAGTGCAACAGATTCCTCCATCTACGCTAAACTGTGTGGATGGAGGAATCTCCCGCTGAGCCAAGCTATAGTATCTTGCTAATCGGCCCCGCTGGCTGTCAAAATACCTGAACAATGTCTCCAGCCAATCAGCATCGAGCCGGCTTCCCGTCCAATCAGAAAGCCGGGAGGCCGGTCATTACTCGACGCTCAAATTCCCGATCGCACAGGAAGCCGGCTACATGTTCCCCTATGGTCCGAGGAAATCTTCCTCTGACCGGAATTTCCGGTATCGGGGAAGGTATCAGAGCATTTGGACAAATACGAGTACTGGCCCAAATACTCGTATTGGTGCATCCCTAATTGCAACCATGATCAGTGTATTGTGGGTGCCATGCTCAGGCTCCTCCTGACGCTTCCATCAGCCCAAGATCTGTACAGGTAAAGGTACAGACCTTTGGTTATTGGGCTGGAGGAAGCGATCAGTTGGTTACAAGCCTGGTGATGTCATATTGCTCTATTGAGGTCTACAAGTCCCCCCATTCGCAGATCCTGTTACTGCGGCTCTGCCCACACAGCTTCTATTGCGAATTTTAAAGAATACGGGGGATTTCAGATAAGTGGGGGCTTGAGGGTGGGAAGCTGGGTAATATGACCATGTAATGTGTTACTCCCTAAATATGGGTGTATCAGGAAACATGGTCACAAAGGTGAAATTAGCCTTCATAGGTTAACATTTATGATAATAATTCAATGGGACAAAATCACTGATCCTGCACAAACAGGAAAGACCTGTGCTCTGAACGCATCTGGTCTGGCAGATGGACGCGCCAAGAAGACATAGCTGCCAGTTGCCTCCGAATAGGGACCTTTAATGAAAGTACCTTCGTCTGAAGCTGATTGTACCAGCCAGTAAATTCCCCCCTTAATGCTTCTCCTTGGCAACAGCAGTAAATTAGCCTCATCACAGAGGACTGAATGTATCACACTGCGTTAGTGTACTGCATACGCACCTCGGCGAGTCCCTTCGCTTCCCGAAACCTGCTAGAAGCATCGTCCCCAGTGCAGAATAATTAGGTTTGTGTGTTTGAATTCTAAATTGGGCATTTAATTTCATGGCAGTAAGCTGCCGCTCTGCCCTAGAGATTACAAACAGTAATAAACCAGACTCTACCTTCCACTACGCGTTCCCTAACTACATATTTTTACAGCTCCTCACTCTTTGCAATGACATGCAGACTCTACAGTCACAGAGTAGCCAATTATCTGTATAATCAGGCTTTGCTTTGCTGGGTGGATCTCGACAGTATTGTGGGGATCCGTCCCGGCTGTGGCGCTCTCAGTATATAGCCGGCAATAGCTCGCTATATACTGAGCTTTGGGTCACCGGAGGAGGTCAGTATATGTCCTCCCGTGACCCTAAAGAGAACTATGGGATAGAAAGGTTACCGCATAGTTCCCTTCTAAACCCAGGATTGGATCAAATGCGTTGGAGGGTGGACCTGAGGCAGCTAAATAGGAGCCTTGTTTCATTTCCGGGGCACGTGTCGGGATATAAATACATGAAGTATATTTGTTTTGTACACCTTACTGGAATCAACCATATGGTTACCAGGGTGCCGACTGGTCATGATGTATAACCTTAATCAGATATTCTTTATTGCATGATCGCATAGAAAACATAGTTTCAGGACCTTGCAGGGACCCTTCATTTGGCATGCTCACACGCCTGAGGAAGGGTCCCTGCATGGTCCACAAATGTTGTTATTCCTTTTATACTGTTAGTTATCATTTTAGTTTAGTTCATATAACGTTACAGGTAGACTGACTGCAAGGATCAGGTATGTTCATGTTTAGGGTTTCTCCCCTCCATTGCAGCAAATACTTACCTTCCATCTGCTGCTCCACAGCTCTGTTCAGCCACTATAACCGAGAAGAGGAAACCCTCTGTAAACGTACAGCCTAATACAGGACTAAGGACTTATGTGACAACGATGGAGCAGTTAATCACAGAAAAAAGTCCCGTCGCACAGCGCAAGCATCGCTGAAAAATGTATTATAGCACACAGATACACATCATCCCACCGTGGATCCACTGCACTCAACGGTGGAGCAATTATTAAGTGCCAGAGCTGTCATGTGATAGGAAGGGAAGAGATTCAAATTCTTCCTCATACCTGGAACAGAGTGGCGATGGAGAGGGAGCAAAGGAAAGGTGAGTATGTGCTGCCAGGGAGGAGGTCAATTTAGTGAACCAGCATCTTTGCCTGACGAAGACTCACTTTAAAGTGGCCAGGCTGTGGACAGTGAAGTTTTTGTAAATCCTTAAAGGAGAACTGTGGGGTTAAGGCTTTTCCCTATTGTTCTCCTTAGGGTAACGGGAGGACACAAACTAGCGTCCTCCCGTCACCCTAGGCTCAGTATACCGCGAGCTGTAGCTCGCGGTATACTGAGATGCCGCAGCTGAAGCGGATAGCGACAATTGTGCCGGGATTCGCCCAGCTGCGTGACTGACAGCTGGCTCTGCCTATCTAGAGGCAGAGCCAGCTGTACCCTCCCCCGTCCGTTCCGCCAGTCAGCGCTGGCGGAGCGGGGAGGGGGGAATCCAGCCCTCCCCTGTCACGGCAGAGAGCTGTGACAGGATCGAGAAGTGAGCGAGCACCGGTATGTATTCGCTCACCTCCCGATCTACTGAGCCGACCTGTGACAGTCTCATTGTCACAGGTCGGCTAGAACTATGAGCTGAGTGAAAAGCACTCACCTCATAGTTCTCCTTTTAATAAGCAGTAAATGAGCATTAAAACAAGCTCTCACTGACCTCTGTAGCTGCAGACACTGTGGAATAATTAAATCGGAACTAAAGCTGCAATTGCATAGCACAGGAGTTACTTTGTCCTTGCAGAGAATCATGCCAAGACTGTACATTGAGCTGCCCATGTCCAGCTCACTGCTCAATCTAAACCACCAACATAACTCTTCTGCAATGAGAGGCCTGCCTGCTCACAATTCTTGTAAATAAATACTTTCCATTTTCATTACATACTTATTTTAGACCCAGTGATATTGTCACTAGGTCTGACTACAATCTCTGTACAAATTAGTAAACTAAACATGAGATTGTAGTCCATCCTGGGAGCGAGCTCGGATCCGATCAGCAGGGATCTCCAGTGACATAATTTACCATATATGGACTTTCCCATTTGTAGTAAATGCTGAAGAGAGAGAGAGAGCTCCTTCCCCTCTGTCATCAGCGATCCACGAGTATGTCAGTGTCAGCAGGGAGAGAGAGAGAGAGAGGGAGGAAGGAGCTGGCACACGGGGACCTGCAGGTAAGGAGAGAGCTGCTGCGCATGTCCATATATTCGTGGACGCGCAGCAGCTCTCAAGAATCACTGTCAGTCATCAGTGGGGAGGATCCCGTCAGATACGTCGGGATGTCTTCTCATTGCGGCGCTTAGCCCCGCCCACCACCTAAAATAAGGTTTTACAGCCTTACTGTGCATTTTGGCTAATTACAGTAAATTACATTATTTACTTATTTAGCCTAAGGAATGCATTCATAAAAAAAGATAGAACCCCATAGTTCTCCTTTAATAAGTCACAGCCCTGGAACAGGTATGTAGATCAGCACTTCCAACATGCTGCATTTGTGTTCCTTGTAGCAAGGAGAGAGTAATGGTGGCAGTGTTCTGAAAAACAAGTCGTCATTTGCAGCTCCCTTATTTCTATTCCAAAAAGGTTTCCCTTTTAAAAGTTGAAGCCTTGACTGATTGCTCCCCTTTGCTTTGTCTTTCAGCCTCACATTTTGCGGAGGCTGCCTACAAATCACAGACTGAACAGGATAGGCTTTCAGAAGCCACAATTCACGTGGAACAATTAAAGTTCTTTTTCTCACAATGCTGAAAGGTGATGGCTTTGATTTCAGGCATGGTGATAATTAGGGAGCTGTTGATAAGCGAGAATTGCTCCATGGAAATTATTAGCAGCGATGATAATTACTGTAGTGATTATCTTCTGGAACAGAAAGGCCTTTCACACTTGGGTGGTTCATTTACTGTAAATAGTATATAACAACGGGGTGTATTTTTTTAAAGAGGAACCATTGCACTTTATTAGGAAGTATTCATTCTGTTTAGTTTATGTAGCATTTATCTGCAATTCATTTGTGGTATTATTCATATACCTACATGCTCACTCGGTCACGATTTCAGGGTAATATTTCATGTACAGAATGACGGCCTCTAGAGGGCGCCCATGTCTATATGTCAGTCATGTGGCTAACCTGTGTGAAGAGGAGTACAGGGCTGCCATTGCTGTCTTTTCCTGGAAATTAGGGATGCACCAATACCGATACTAGTATGTTTCTCCTGATGACTATCCCGATACCGGAACTTCCGGTATCATGAAGCCGGGTGACAAGTCATTACACGCTGCCCTGCTTCCCGAATGGCTTCCTGATCGTCACCACGGAGCATAGAGCTTGCTTCCAGGCCAATCAGGAAGCCGGGGGCCGGTAATGACTCACCCCCCGGCTTCCTGATTGGTCGGGAAGCCGGCTCCCTTGTCACTTGGTGACGCGGAAGCATGAAGCCGGCTTCCCAGCCAATCAGGAAGCCAGGTGTGTAATGACTCACACCTGGCTTCCTGATTGGTTGGAAAGCTGGCCAATCAGGAAGTCAGGCGGCGAGTCATTACCCACCCCCTGGGTTCTTGATTGGCCAGAAAGCCGGCTCCATGCTCCCTTGTCACTTGGTGACGAGGAAGCATGGAGCCGGCTCACCGGCCAATCAGGAAGCTGGGCGCCGTGTAATGACTCGCCGCCCGGCTTCCTGCTTGATTAGGAAGCTGGACAATCAGGAAGTCAGGCGGTGAGTCATTACCCACCCCTCGGCTTCCCAATTGGCCAGAAAGTTGCCTCCATGCTTCCTCGTTACCTGGTGGCTAATCAGGAAGTTGGGCGGCGAGTCATTACAGACTTCCGGTATTGGTATTCGGTATCTGCGAGTACTGGAAAAAAAATATCATACACATACACGATATTGGTGCATCCCTACTGGAAAGGCTAGTTGCCTAGTTGGCATGATGATTCAGTGGCTTCAATATCGATACTAGTATGCAAATAAGGAGTTTTGTCTTCACTGCCTGCATGCTTGTTCCAGGTTTGTGACTCAAGCCATTCAGCCAACATGTTCAAAAATAGGTCATGCAGCCCATTAGTTTCTATCAGTAATGGTTTTGTTTCAATTACAGGAGCCATTAACTTAAAGCTGTAGTTAAGTCTAAACAAATATTTCCTAAATACAAGATCCATGTGTATTCCTAATTGAATCTTGGTGTCATTAATAATTTTTTTTCAAAATCTGTGCAGTAACCCAAAATACAACAACTGCTACACTCTGCTTCTGCGCAGGAGTTTCCTGTAGAGTTGACCAATCACACCTGTTCTATGCTCTTGTACATGGCGACTGGTCTTGTCTCCGCCCCCTCCTGTAATAAAGACAGGTCACTGCTGCTCTCTCTCCTTGTGCAGGGTGACCGGTCTTGTCTCCGCCCCCCTCCTGTTAAAAAGATTGCTCACTGCTGCTCCCTGCTCTTGTGCAGGGTGACTGGTCTTGTCTCCGCCCCCTCCTGTAATAAAGACCGGTCCCTGCTGCTCCCTGCTCTTGTGCAGGGTGACTGGTCTTGTCTCCGCCCCCTCCTGTAATAAAGACAGGTCACTGCTGCTCTCTCTCCTTGTGCAGGGTGACTGGTCTTGTCTTCGCCACCTCCTGTACTTTTCTTCAGGCAGCCTGTAGTGGGTGGGGCCTGCTGGGTCTCCCCCACTGCTTTCCTCTATGCACAGGCTATGTACAGCACAGTGATGATGGTTAATCCCGTTGCCACTTTTTTGCCATCTGTTTTTGCACCAGGTAGATTTTTCTTCATTTCCTATCCTTAACAGTAAATAAAAGGAAATTTCTCCAAAGTGTATGCATGTATACATATGTTTAAAAAAATGACAGCCCCCAAATCTTTAAGTGATTGATATTTAAATGCTCTAATTTATGTTTTAAAAAGTTGGTGCAAAGCTTTGTAGTGGGTTATTATTAGGGATGCACCGATACTAGTAACGGTATCTGTGCCGATACCGAGTATTTGGGCCAGTACCCGTACTCGCCCAAATGCTCCGATACTTACCTCTGACACCGGAACTTCCGGTCAGAGGGAGATTTCCTCTGACCGGCAGTGCCGCGAGGGAACAAAGCTTCCCGGCCAATCAAGAAGCCAGGTGGCACATAATGACTTGCCGCCCAGCTTGGCTGGGAAGCCGACGGTATGCTGTTTGACTGGCTCAATGCTGATTGGCTGGGAAGCTGGCTTCCCGACCAATTAGCATTCAGCTGGCCAAACAGCAGGGAGCTGGCTTCCCGGGCAATCAAGAAGCCGGGCAGCGGGTAATGATACACTGCTCGGCTTCCTGATTGCCCGGGAAGCTAGCTCCATGCTAGCCGAAGTACAGGTATCGTTATCCGCGAGCACCAAAAGATAAATGTCGTTACTCATACTGGATAACGAAAAAACGGTATCGATGAATCCCTAGTTATAATAAATGACTGCAGTGTGGAGGGCTTTTTTTGGTTTCCTTGTACCTTTGCAGTTCTTCCATGAATGGTTCTCTTTGACAGAGTGGCTTCTTTTTTCTTTACTAAGGGCTTGGGCAAGAAAAAGCTTCTGCAGCAAAGAGAGTCTCACAACTTTACCTACTGGAAGCCACTGGAAGAGGAGTTAAGAAGACAGAGGCCTCTTATCAGCACTTACCAGACAGAATTCTGGAGAGTGGACGATGTTCCCAGGAGGTCACCTCAGCTTCTGGTTCCCCGTTTGACAGCTTCGTGTTCTGCAGTGACCACTTATAGGGACATGAGGAAAAGCCATGCTAATCTGAAATCCTCCGAGCACTCAGCTTTGACAGACGTCCCACAGATCTCTAACAACACCAGAGCAGGAACGGAGGAGATCTCACTAAGAAGAGCTAAGTCTGCACCTTACAATCGGCTCACCGTTTCTGATTGTCTTGTTTGGTGTGCTCCGGGAACAGCTAAACATGAAAGCGTGCAGAATATAGGAACAACATAAAGGATCTTTAAACCCCAAAACAGAAATTTAATATATTGCAGATGACCAGGCCTTTGATGTGGTGGCTGCATTAGCTTTCATTTTTCAGGCTAAGAACTTCTTTAGCAAGTACAGAAGTGGACCGCCAACATGTCTCCCTCCATAGATACAGTAAAGGAGTAAGCGTAGCCCCCCCCAAGGACAGGAAGTGTGTTATTTGCTATAAACTAATGCAGCTACCACATCTAAGAACGGACAAGCTGCAGTATATTACATTATTTTTTTATGGGTTTAGAAGCTTGTGTACTACGTCCTTTATTGCTCTCTTATAAAATGTAAACATCAAGCTCACTGGTCTCTTTCTTTTATGCTTCCAGTTTCAGTATATCGTCACCAAAATTATATTTTATATTCAGGGCCGGATTTACTGCTGCTGCCCCAAGGCCAGGTTCTGCAATACACCCCCCCCTTCCCATCAATGGGGAATGGCAACCAGATGACAGGGCAGCAGGGTTAGTTTAAACATTTTTTACTGTTTCTTTATTTTTTTATCACTTTTTATTTAATTATTTTTTCTTATTTTTTATTTATTTAATAATTTTTTTATCAATTTTTTTTTTTTTTTAATTTTTATTTATCTTATATACTTTTTTTTATACTTTTTTTTTATCTTGTGAACTCCTCCATGTGACAGTGCTCAGGCCTGAGTGTCCAATCACCTTGTCCAAACACTGTCATGTGGGGAGGGCCAATGACAACGTCATCCCGGGTAAGCTCTGACACTGCAGCTTACTCAGGGTGGACTCCTGCAGTAGAAATGCAGCGAAGGAGTGTGAGTCAGTAAGTATACCCAGTAGACATGTGCGAAGACACTTCCGAATTCCAATGCAATGTGTCTGAATCCGAATTTCTATTTCCGAATTTCAGATCCCTTTTTCAGGAGCCTCAGCTTTAGTATTATATGTATATGGCTCTCAGACCCGGATGGCATGTGGGAGCTCCCCAATGCAATCCGTAAATTTGGATCCCAAATGCCATTCGGGTCTAGGAGAATCAGCTTTAGTATTAATATCTGTAAATGGTTTTCTGTGGTAGTCGTAATGAATATACGTTCGTAAACTCAGCCGAAACTAACGAAATTCGAACCGAATTGAATTTCGGATCCGAATCCAAAATAACAAACTATACGAACCAAGCCGACCCGAAATTTTCCGCAGCTTACATGTCTAATACCCAGCACACACTGTCACTTCACCATGAATGAGGAGGTGGCATTGTCTCTTTTAAGGGATATCTCTACAGTTAGTGGTCAGGATTTGTAGTTCACTATTCTATTATTGGGGCCCAAACCCCCACGCTGAACTAACCAGTGCTCGATTCTCAGTGCCAAAAGCCTAGGTGTGCCATTGTCAATAAATGCCAAAGATTGATCACAAATTCTGTTAAGTTTGGCATTTCAGAAAATGACTTGGATCAAAAAAAACAAGCTAACTGAGGAGTTCTCAGGAAGTAATTCCAGCAATTCCACCTTCCCGGCCCGGCAATCACTTATCCATTTCCCGTTCATAAATCATAAAGTCTAAAATGAGAACTTTTAAAATCTTGCTCCTGATACACCACAATATGCCACTCAAGCGGCAACAAATAATCAGTCCGTTTACATCCAAATTGTTTGATTTTGGTGAGTCTTTGAAGGAACCATGTGTGCAGAGAAAATGAATTCAATATAACCGCTTTGCTTTTCATTTCAAACAGTTTAATCATCAAGATGTCAATATTTCATGCTGCACCTTACTTTGCATGGTAATATATTCTATAAGTGATCCAGTATTATTGATTGCAGGGGCCTATGCATGGGAATTGTTTCATCTGCAATATATGACTCCATTTATTTTAATGATCGTATGTTATATACAAAAAGAATTATGGGGTATAAAAAATGTTTTTTTTATATAATAAACTGAATTTTTAAACATATAATAACTGTTTTTATCTATTGTTTAAAGAAATTAGTTTAATGCCAGCAATAAGAAAACCGTGAAACAAGGTTAGCACAGGGTATATATATACTGTATCTGTGTGTGTATGTGTATGTATGTGTGTATATATATATATATATCTTTACTGTTGTATGATTATTTATGTATTTTTTTTTTTTTTGTGTCCTAGTAGGTTCATTGGCTCCTGTCTAAATTGGCCATAGTATGTGTGTACATGAGATAGAGATGCACCGATACTAGTATCGGTATCGGTGTTGATGCCGAGCATTTGGGCGAGTACTCGCCCAAATGCTCCGATGCCTAGTCTGATACTTCTGGTATCAGGAAGCCGGGCAGCACGTCATTACACACTGCCCGGCTTCCTGGTTGGCCGGGAAGCCGGCTCCATGCTCTCTCATCACTTGTGACGAGAGAGCATGGATCCGGCTTCCTGGCCAATCAGGAAGCCAGGCGCCGTGTAATGATGCGGCACCCGGCTTTCTGACTGGTCGTGAAGCCAGCTTCATGCTCCCTCGTCACCTCATGACGAGGGAGCATTGAGCCGGCTTTGCGGCCAATCTGGATTGGCCAGAAAGCCAGCTCCATGCTTTCTCGTCACCTAGTGACGAGAAGCATGGGGATGGCTTCCCTGCTAATCGGGAAGCCAGGTGGCGAGTCATTACATGCCACCTGGCTTCCTGAATGGGACATCCAGCATCAATATTCGATATCGGCGAGTACCGGAAAAAAAAACCCGGTACTCGATACCGTAACACCGGCATCAGTTCACCTTTAACATGAGATAAGAACCTTACTCAAAGTAGAATTAAACTCTTCATTGTTTTTGCATGTATCTTCTGCTAGCAAGCAGTAGATATATGCAAAAACATTTACAAAAATAAAAAAGTTACCAAAAAGGTAAAAACGTACCTGTGTCTCTGCCACTCGCTCCTGTCTGAAGATCTGAAGCTTCTCCATGGGGCAGGCGCATACGCGGTACAGATCTTCGGTGGGGAGAAGAGGAGAGACACAGTGGAGGTGTACGCACACAGTCGGGAGCGTGCACGTTGGACAGATATCGCGGGAGCCGAGGCGTCTGTGCTGGATCAGAAACCGACACCAGTGCTGGAGGGATTGCTGAATACAAGTGGAAGGAAAAAGATCAAATCAAGAGGTATCATTGAAGGTAAGTCCTTAAAGCAGCATGGGGAGGGGGAAGGGAAAAACATCTGTGACTGTAATGTCACTTTATTTTCAGCCCTTTGTAATCCTCTGTACAGCACGGGGGAGGAGGGTCAGTAATGGGGCCAGTCAGGTGTCCTGCCTTCACATGTGCTGACAGTGGGAAATAGCAGGAGATGACCTCATCAATCTCTTGCTGCCCAGCCTATGGCAAGCACTGAAATTGTGACACCCCGGCTCTAGCACCCACAGACACACACATACACAGTAGCGCTGCTGGGCAGAAGGTATAGGAACGCTTACACTACTCACTTCCTGTGCCAGGCTCTGCATTAGATGATGTCATCAGTCATATCCCAGCATAGGAAGTGAGTAGGGTAACTTCCTCTGTCTTAACTATTTGATGACGTGACAATAGCGATTGGCTGCCCTGTCTATCACTGGGGGGTTCTAGCTGCTGGAACCTCTGAATGGGGCACAACTTAGCTAAAGGGGCACTGAGTGTCGCAGCACCCCGCTTAAAGTGGTGTGTGGGGCATGTACCCTAGATACGCCACTGCTGCCCAGTCACAGGTTGGGGGCAGAGAGGTGATCTAGCTGGTTTGCAGAGAACATTCAGGTAACCAGGGTGTTTTCGACTGCGTGTGTGCGTGGCATAGCTGTGTAAATCTCAGGACTGGATAGATAGAAATGAAAATCATTTGGCAAATAAAACAGCTCCCATATACTGTATATATTTCAACTCTCGATCTAGCTGTTTGCTTGGATCCCTCACCTCCCGATCTATTGAGCCGACCTGTGACAGTCTCATTGTCACAGGTCGGCTTAGAACTATGAGATGAGTGGAAATCACTCATGTCATAGTTCTCCTTTAATCTGTGAGTAAACTATGGATATGATACAAAAACATAATTCACAGCAATCTTTATTAGTTTTACTTTGAACTTGCTTCTGCCAAACGGTGTCAGTTGTCACATGAGTGATCCGCACTCCCTTATCCTTTATAATATAATGTACAGACCAACACATCAGGTGCAAAGCACAAAGTTCCAGTATCCTTGGGAGACCATTGTATGTTGCAGATGGAAAAGGGAAAAGCATTTTTCACCGCTGTCAGAAGCGCTAAAAATAATCCCCGCACCTGCTCACCCGCTTTTCTTTTCAACCGAGGCTAATGCACTTAGCAGCGGTCGTCTCTTATTTTCTGTAACTGGATGCAGTGCGTGTGCTGATGCCGTTTTCTGTATCCACCTTATGTCAAGTGGCCGTGTCATCCATAAGCCACGGTGACTGCCATTTTGTGAGTGGAGTCAACACTATAGGGGGCTATTCACAAAGCTAGCCGAAGGATCAGCTATCAGCTACCACGGAGGTACCGAGCAGAATAGCCGAGCGGCATTCGGCTATTGACTCACTGCCGTTCGGCCCCTATGTGAATAGGGGCCAGCAGCAGCGAGTGAGCTGCCGGAGATTCGGCTCAGTCCTTCTGCATTTTGCAGAGCATGTTCGGCTGACTGAAGTGCAGCCGATGTACGGCGGAAATCAGCCGTACTGAGCCGTAGTGAATAGCCGAACGTCGTTTGGGTCACTTCACTACAGCTCGGTTATTCACTCGGCTGCCTCCGGCAGCTTTGTGAATAACCCTGTGAGCAAAACCTACTATACTAGACACAACAGGTACAACGCTTATGCCGCTATGCCCTAAAGCAGTTGTAAAGTCCCAACATATAGTCTCTCCTCCTGTCAGCATGTCCCTTGTTAGCACGTATAGAAATTCCAATGCGTTTTGGGGGATCATACAAATACCCCCTTCATCAGGGCTTACTCTAAACTGTTTACAGATCTTGTAATTAGCGAACA